AATGTCACCGCAGGTGACAGGATGGCTAAAGTTCTTATTTAAGAATTGCTTAAAGCTTTGAAATATCTACGATAAAAAATCTAGTTATAATTGACAGTGAAACGCTAGCATACGTGCCAATTTAGAATCATCATTATTATTCTTTCCAAATGTAAATAAAAGTTGACATTATAATGATACTAAATATAACAGAAAGGTTTAGAGTAAAAATGAATTTTGAAAAGCAAAGTATGAGATTAACTAGTGATCGAATCCCGAAATTGTCCTTTCCTACTAATGATAATTGTTTAGGTATGTGGCTATTTTAAGATAATCACCTGGCTTTTTTGGCAGCATGGTAAATTTCCTAGGTGGATAACAAAATAATAATAATAATAATAATATTAATACTGTTAAATAAGTGTCGATTCCCATTATTGCTTATTCGTCCATACTACTAAGACAGAGGACTGTGAATAAGGTGAATTCATCGAGGTCGCCCTGACAATAGGTTGGTGTTATGAAAATAACTGAGTGCCTAAAAACATTCTTCTCAGAGCGAAATCCCACATTAGGAAGCCTCCTATTTGAAAAAAAATAATGCACTAACTAATTCACTTCACGTAACATGGACTAGATTTGTTAAAAATTCCTAGACTCCCATAAAAAGTATACAAAAGTAAATAGTTTATATTCAATTTTAGTGTACAACACTGTACCTCGGTTAAATGAAATAATCCGCATTGTGGCGACAAATAATATCTCCCACCCTAATTAAGAAAAGGAAAAATTCAAGTTTGGCGCCATTCACAAATTCTTAGGAATTGTGCTGCTTTATCTGAAGCAGCCATCCGTGCGTTCGATTTCAAAGCATAGAAAACAAGCCTACTTAACCACGATCTAAATGAACTCAGAAGTTTTTGGTTTCTCAGTAAGGAAGCATAAACAATTTTCAGAATATGTATTTAAAAATAAAACTATACAAGATTGGATGTATTCCCTTTAAATATGAATTGATTCTTTTTAATCAAGGAGGAATTAGCAAAATTTTGAAAATCAAGAGAAAAAAGTATGGATACAGAAGTGTAATGCTTTATTTTAATGTGAAATAGTTTAATTGTTATATACTGCTAAGAATCTAATAAAGACTATAGTTGGAGAATGTGGCGGATACCAGCATGGCAAATGAGTAAACTATATGTATATATATATATATACTTAATCCCGATTTTACAACAATAATCGAGCATAGAATGTATGTTGGAAGTCGAACTTCTTACCTCTTAAATTTAGCCAAAATTAATCAAATGCACAAAAAAGTGATTTGAAGGCCTAATTTAAATCTTCCCTAAACTTTGTGGCCTGATAACGGATTACAATTTAGGTGGACTTTGGTCCATCGGCTATGAGGATATCAGAGCAACGCTGGCAGACAGAAAATGATAAGTGTAACGACAGCTACTGCACTATCGTAAAGCATAAACCTAGAGATGCGAAGAAAATGGAAATCATTAATTAGAAATATCATGAAAATATAATTATATCTGATATATTAAATGAAGGATGAATTCTCATAGGAATTATTGTCGTAAATGCAATAGGCATGAAATAGAATATAAGAATGATATAAGAGCTATCTGGAAAGCTTAATTATAAACTAAAATATAAAAATGATGTCTTCTAAATAAAATGAAGGATTTCCATTAACAGATGTATTGAATCATATGGATACAAAGGGCAAGATAAGGATGGTATTGTGAACTGAAAAGGATATACTTATCGATATCTCTAGACAGAGGTAGTGTGGATGAGAGAAACTACATATTTAAATGATATAATTAGAAAATTACGGTGGAAAATTAAGTGAGAATGAGCCTACATAATTGCAAGCAAGTTTGGCCAAAGTAGCCTCGTGATTCGCAGTCGGCGAATTTTCCTTGAAGGCCGCACTGGCTCGAGAAAGGGCACATACCATGGCATAGATATGAATAACAGCTTCAGCCATCCTAATCAATTGGAACTGATGCTCGACAATGCCTTTTTTGTGTCGGATCAACAGGTCGGTGACAACCAGACCGAAAAGATCGATCGACCTGGCCAGCTGGATGGCCGAGCCAGAGAACTGATCACCTAGAATCCCCTGAAGCTCCTTGGCGCTGTTTGACATCTTCAGGACGACTCTAAGAAAACCAGGTAAGTGATACAAAGGTCATGCAAAAATGGTAACGACGACAAAGAATGAAGTGGAGTGATTAGGTCAAGGTCTGCGTAAAACTATTTTAACCAAAAACAAACAAAAATTTACCTTTATTAAGGCGTCACACTTTTGTTAAAAGGACATGAAGGGCGTATATTTCGCTTCGCAGGTCAAATATAGCCCAGAGCACGCAGCAGATAAAGTAAAGATGACATCACCAACAAGGGGAGAACAAGTACGCGAAGCAAGTGCGAAAATAAGCCTTGATTACACAGCTCTTGGGCAATATACCCTTCTGATTAGCGTCAATTCTCCCTCTAATCCCCGATTGTATCACTGAGGGCAATATCTCACTGCATGCAGCTGTACCTTTAGTTTTGTTTTAAAGAGTTGATAGAGGGACTTTCTAACTTGGCACCACTAAAGACTAGCCCTTGCACACCATAAAGGGCTGAGCTCGCCTCTTCAAATTGACAGACATCTTCAGAGCCTTAGACCATCACTAATAGAAAGTCACAGTGATACTTAATTTAGCGACCTTAAGGAGACATTTCACCATTTGATTACCTAATTCATACCCACCTTAGATGTTTGCAGATAGTTAAAGATGATACATGAAAAGAATGTAGATGCGGTCACAGCTCTTTCCATGAATGTATGAATTGAGGTTTGACCCTACGATATTGACATGTGTTTAGATATTTTGTTTCGTGTATTTTATGTGTGTGCAATTCCCATAAGTCAGTCAAAACTAAACTACAAGTTAATCAAGCCTCCTCTTATTCCTACTCTTCCTTCCTCTTCCTAATTTGATCCAATACTAGGTGCACATTTTCTTAATTTCCTTCTACTGAAAACGTTGGTTGACTTTTTTATTTCTACTGACTCCCTAGTCTTCCGATTAGCCCTATATTGGCCATATATTCAATCACTGATTTTTGGACCCATGTGCCTTGAAGAGCTGTCAGAAATTTGGTACACCCCAAGATAATAGTTTCCCTTAATCTTGTTTTTACTATTGCAAAATAATCCTGGTGGGCAAATGCTCTAAACGAATTTTTTAAATTAACAATTCTAATTTAGGATATTGGTGATTCACGCCTTATAGACGCAAAAATCTTATTGTCATTGAATTCGCAGTCGCTACCTTACTCCCAATAGGAATGATAAGAGATAAATTTAGGAAGCAAACCCGTATTCATATGCACATCTCTCTTTACGAAGCAGAGAATTAAAAATGACACAAACTTATCATTATTTTCTAAGTTCGTTGCGAATCCAGTCACTAAAG